GATAACGACACCCTAAATCATTATCCTCCACTGACAATGTCTCATCAGGGAAAATAATTGGTTCAGTACTTGTAATCTCATTAGTACTAATAACAGGTGCATAACTATGCTCAGCTAACTGAGAAGTATTACCTGCATCGCCTGAGGTAGAGGGGACATCAGCAGAGGGATGAGAGCGAGGGCGACGAACATAAACCTGCAAAGGAAGAGAGAATGGGGACTCTGTACTGACAGAGACGAGTGGCTCTGGTGAAGGAGAGACTGATGCTTATGTAGTAATAGTGACCAATGGCTCTGACTCCTATGGTAACGAAAAATCAAAGAGAGTATCATCAACTAGAGGAGCAGACACAGGAGTGAAAGAAAAATAAGGAATGTGCTCAAGAAAGGAAACATCTAGACTATTAGACATACGGCGCCTGATAGGATTATAACACCGATATCCCTTAGATTGATGACAATAGCCCACAAAGATATAACAAATCGCTTTATCATCAAGCTTATGGCGAGTAGGAGACTAATCTTGAACAAAACATGTACAGTCAAAAATACGAGGGGAGATCGAAAAAAGTGTCCTCTTAGGAAATAAGATTTGTAAGGGAGCCCTATACTGAAGAACACGACTCGGTGTACGATTATATAGAAAGGTAGAAGTCAAAATAGCAAAATGTCAATAAGATTTTGGTACTCCCATATCTCTAAGCATACAACGTACCATCCCTATTAGACTCCTATTTTTTCTTTCAGCAACTCTATTTTGCTCAGAAATATATGGACAAGTGAGTTGCTGAAGGATACCCTGAGAAGAAAGGTGAGACACTAAGGCATCGGACACATATTTTTTGCCATTATCCGAACGAAGAGCACGAACAATGACATCGAATTGTGTCTTAATCATTTGGAGATATTGAGTGATGACAGGGAGTACATCAGATTTCCTATGCAAAAGGTAAACCCAAGTACAACGGGTATGATCATCTATAAATGTCACATAGTATCGAGCACCTGACAGAGCAGTAACAGGAGAGGGTCCCCCAAATATCAAAGTGTATTAGGTCAAATGGCTTGGGTGACTGGTGCATGCGAGGAATATAACTGGTCCGAATATGTTTCGATAGGGAACATATAACACAATCAAGTTTACCACCAAAACAAGTATTGCTCAAAGCACGAAATAACATACATAAATATTTAAAATTTTCATGCCCAAAAAGGTCATGCCACAACTGAACAGTTTGTGATGAAAAATTATAACGACAAGTACTAGGCAAAATACTAGCATACAAGGTAGAAACAGATAAAGACAAAGCAGGTGCAGGTGATAGAGGTAGAGAAACTGGTGAAACTGGAGGTGGATCGCCTAGATAATACAATTCATCTATCTCATGTCCCCTGATAATAATCCTCTTGGTACTCAGGTTTTACAAATAACACAAATCAGATAAAAACACAACTACAGAAAGAAAATCTCTGGCTAACTAATGTACGGATAATAGATTCATGACCAATTTTGGTGCATGAAAAATCGAATGTAATGTAAAGCCATCTAGGAGGCGGACTGTACCCCTACTAACAATAGGGGCATGTGTCCCATCTGCTAGTTGAACTTGTGTATGCAACTGCTTGTCAAAAGTGGTGAAGTGATGAGCCTCACCTATCCTCACCTATCATATGACCATTCGCACCTGAGTCTAACATCTAAAGGGAAGACGAACTAGTGCAAGCATGAAAGGCACGATGTATACCTGTAGTGGTTGCAGTAGCAGTAACAGTAGTCGGACCCTGAAAAGTTAGGGCAAACATTAGTATATCCAATCGAGAAATGACAGCATCCATATCACTCTGCCAAGGAGGAGCAACGGCAATAGGTGGTGGTACCTCAACAATAACAGTAATACGACTGCGAGGAGGCGGCCTGAGCTCCGGATAGAGCTTCCAACAAATAGCCCTGAGATGGCTGGGTCGGCCACAATAATCACACTGACGAGAACCAGGACGTACATTCCAGGTGGAAGTACTAACAACAGATGTCTCAATCGTAGAGGTCTCAAATCCCTCAGTACTAGCCATATCAACAACAATACTAGGGCACCGGTGACAGAAAAAAAACTCTAAGATAAATAGAGAGATAAAATAAGGGAGAATAATATACCTCAAGTCGAACAATAGCGACAGATAAAGAAGGTTTAGAAAGCTCCCAAATAATCAGGCCACGGTGCCCAGAAATTCAGTAAATATAAATAAAAGATCTACTGCATCAAGAGCAAATCAATAGAGAAGAGGATTCAACCCCTCTTAAAACAGTCCTATATACTGCAACCTGACAGCATTATGACGAAGAGTGCGAACAACGAAAAAAAAATGCGACCTGACAATGGGCTGATGAGTGTGCTGAGTAGTGACCCGATAGTGGGCTGGGTGGCTGGTTGCTATTTTTGGGTTCCCCGGGTTGTGGGCTGTATGGGGTTAGGTTGGACAGTGGGCTGGTTTGGCATATGGTTATGGGCTGGTTGTTTGGGCTGCTGGTCTGGGTTGTGTTTGGCAGACTGGTCGGTGAAGCAGGGGTATTTGTTTGCTGTCGGTGGTGGGTATTTGGTTTCGCTGGGATTTGTCAGTCCAGGTGGGTATTCGAATTTGCAGGTGAGGATTGGTATGGACTGGTTGAACTGGTATGGATTGAGGTTGCTGCCTTTGTCGTGGATTAAGGTTGTTTGTTGCAGGTTGTGGTGGACTGGTATGGACTGGTTTATCTGGGATGCGGCTAGGGGCTGGTATGGACTGGTATAAGGATAGGTAGTCAGTGTATGGACTGGTATGAGGATGGGCAGTCGGTGGAAGACTGTTTGTTGCTTGGGCCGTCGGTGTATGGACTTTGGGGCTGTCGGTGTGGCCTGGTATGGGCAGTAGGTGGACTGGTTTTGTCGCTGGTTTGGTCGGTTTCGCTGGGCAGCTGATGGCCAGGGTGGTTTCGGCGGTGGCTGGTTTTGCTTAAAGGCAGTTTGCCGGTGAGGCAGTCTCGGTGGAGGCTAAGGTTGGGGAGAAGGTTAGGGTTTGGGGTAGGGTTAGTGTATGGTTCTGATACCAACTTGAAATATTTAGAAGAGAAAAAAAGAATACAAACTAAGTGTAGAGCCCCCATATATATAGCCAATGAAAGTTTACAATAAGAAAAAAAAGGGAAAACAAAATAAACCCTAATTAACTAGGTTGTTATATCTCCAACAATTTGCATACATAGTGACACCAGCCTTTAATTGTCATTGGGCAGTTTGCAAATACTGATCTGAAATCTCCTGATCCGTTTGTTGACAAAAGGAAAAATTGACTATATAAGTCCACTTTCTCTACAAAAATTTGTAAGCGTCTCAATTAGGGATTAACTCTGTTTGGACTCATTTCTTACCGGTCTAATAGATGAGTATTCATTTTTATCATTGCACCCCGTCTGTGTAGTGGGGGCCAAAGTGCTATCTAGACACCTTCGAAACTTTCTTTGGTGAGTACCAAAAAAGTTTGACTATCAATTTAAATACCAGCTTAGGAGTTCTTATATGCTTCTTTCCATACATATTTTCAGCTTGAAAGGTTTTTTGTTAAGTCTGCTTTCAATATCAAATGCTTGCCCCATTATGTTCATTTTCCAGGGTGGGTGAGCCACGTCTATGTCGGAAGATTGTACTTATTAGTTATTACTAATGAGCTCACTTAAGGATTCGGGGGTTGGTGGCAGTGGCACATGACTATATGTTTGTACCATCGAGTGTTTTATACTTGGTGCCTGGTGGTCGTTCACTCTGAGTTTTAAATGCTTGTGTTTTGGTTTTGCCAATTGTGAAAATATTTCAATGCTTCTCCATTTTACATTCAAGATTTTTAACATTTGATATCCCAACTTACAAATTTGTTAATGTCAAATACTTTTGCTTCATTGGTGGTGTCATGGATTTAAGTCTGTTGCAGAAGCCACAACTGATTTGTTGAAATGACATACTGCACAGATTCAAGGGAAATACTACCTTAGAATAGATCCCCTTGGAGAGGGAGCTAAGTGGCGTCGGTCATTTGGTCAGGAGATATATTCTCCATTTCTCTTAGCCTTCACTGAGCAGGTGAGTAAGAAAATTTTGAGGCGATCCTTTTTCAATGGTGACTGTATCAGTCCTACAGAATTGTCCTTATTCTTTCAGGATGGAGATAAATATACAAATTTTCAAGTACCAACCTTTTCAGGGATGGCTCCTTCCTACAGTCTTCCCGACAACATTGCAATGATAACCCTCCAGGTACAAATCTGATCTCTGAAGTTGAAATTGTGAGTGATTCCTTAGGCTGATGCTGTTTTGCTTAAGAATTAATGAGAATTTTAAACTTGAGGTGACTTGTTCCTACCTACATCTCTTTTCTGAGTCATGCAGGAGCTTGAAGATGGAAAAGTTCTCCTTCGGTTGGCACACTTATATGAGGTATTTTTGTTTCTGTAACAGAATCACATAAATCTCCTAGTCCCGCCGAGTCTTATGTACTTAAATGTTTGGTTCTATATGTGATTTCCTTGGGAAATAAAACTATTTTCTGCATCTATATTTCATATTTTTGTGAAATACTCTGGCTTTTGTGCCAGTTAATATGTATCCCATTCTTCAGTTCCACTACTCATGGCATCATCATTGATCAGTATTGCTAATTTTGTGTAACATGTGCAATGATGGCTTTCTTCTCCCCTTAGGATCACGCCACTGAATCCCCAACCCTATGCTTGTTCTTGTGGTTTCCTTCAATTTTCCATTTCCTCTAATTTATGCATTTGGATTTGTGCATGGATTCCAGTTTCTGTCTGTTACTTGCATTTTATTTCTGTATATGAAGCAATTCTACATTGGTACTACGAAGCTTTGATTGGTGGGATAAAGTTCCAAAAAAATTAATCAAATCATATCCTCCAGATTTCAGAAACGATTTGTTCTATCATTAGTATTTTTATGAGGGAGAACTTTCTTTGCATATATGAACACTCATTATTTTTGTATGTTAATTTGTTTCCATTCAAAGTCGCAAAGGTAGTAAAAACCATTCGAGTGGTTGCTATATCATACAAGTCTTTTACTTTTGCAGTGTCTAGTGAGTTGTTATCATTTGTCAAATATAACAATTCCTATGATATCAAAGCATTTGCAGTTTATTACAACCCGTTCTGAAACCTTGTGCAGTAGGAGTATTGAGACGTTTATCCTCAGAAGAGATAACCGCTAATATTAACTTTCTATTCATTGCTTCTCCTAGAACTCTAATTTCAGTCATGTGTGTGGTTTCAGATTGGGGAGGACAAAGATCTCTCGGTTATGACAAACGTAGAATTGAAAAACCTGTTCCCAGATAAGAAGGTGAAGCAAAATGCATGGCATTATTTCTAAAGTCCTCCTCTGCTAGATTAATTTTTTGTCATTTTTAATTGAATTGTTTCGTTTTTCAGATAAACAAGGTGACTGAAATGAGCTTATCTGCTAACCAAGAAAGAGAGGAAATGGAGAAAAAGAGATTGGTTTGGAAAGTTGAAGGTTCTAATAATGAAGAAACCAATGTGCTAAGAGGAGGCCCTGTCGATCCTACAAAGCTGGTGGTTGAACTTACCCCAATGGAAATTCGTACCTTCATTATCGAGTTCAGTTACAAATGGTCTACTACTGCAAGGTGAGAAACAAATGACCTTCGATCTGTGACCTTTGTGTCAATTAAGTTTCTAATTTTTTTTATGTGTTAAATGAACTTTTGAACACTCTAATTGTGTCAATTGAGTCTTTTTTTTTTTTTTTGGTGCCATGCAGTCACGTGAGTGGGCACACTCTAAGAGTGGAGATCCAAATATTTACCCAAATTTAAGTAAAAAAAAATAAAAAATAAAAAACTTGATTTGGTATATACCTTTTCCTATTGACAAACTTTTTTTATAGGAAGAGAAACTCAAATTTAAATGAGAACAAATTCAAATTTAAAATGGGATAAAATATGACTATTGAATCTTTAAAAAAAATTATAATTTCATCATTAAAGATTTGAGTTTAAAAAATGATTCTCTTAATTTATGTTTAAAAAATAGTTTCTCTTCATTTTGTACGGTTATAATCTGAAAAAAGTTTTTAAGAGTTTTTTTATTATTTTTTAAAAAAGGTTAAAGATTGGAGATGGTCTAATAGAGATAGACAAAAGGATTCAATTGACAAAATTAGAGAATTCAAGGACTCAATTGACACAAAAAACCTGTCTTATGACACAAAAAAGACAAAAGGTTTCAACTGACATACTTAAAGAGTTTAAGGACTCAATTGACATATAAGAAAGTTTAAGGATTAAATTGACACAAAAGTTATAATTTGAGAGTTATATATATAATTTACTCAATCTCTGAAAAACATTGCTCTAATCCATTTATCGGTTATATTACTTAGGTGAGCTGCTTGTTGATGGATTGATTACAATTCTCACCCAAATCTGTTGCTCTTCGGAGGATTTCTTAATGACAGAAGCCTTCTCCCCCAAATGCACATGCCACGAATAAAGGGTATCATAACTTTTTATGACCGTGTGTTAGACTTTAGATGTGCTACCTCTCTGTTTTCTTTTGCTTTCTCTAATCCTCTCCCGGCCCTTTTTGACTATTTTGTATCAGTTAAATAATATTGGAAACACAATGTAATTTATTTTGCGGAAAATCAAGGCACGTTCAGAATTTACTAACAATTAGTTGCTGCATACTATTGTTTATTTTATTTTATTTTTCTTTAACCACCGAGTGGGGTTGTGCAATGGGGTACTGGTTGAACTTCTTATCCTGAAGTTAGAGATTTGAGTCTCGGAGTCCATATTGGGGCTTGGTGGTTGACATCAATACTAGCCTAGCTAAGTTTGTTGCTTAGTGGAGTAACTGTTGCGGTCAAAGGCCTTATGATTCCACTAGTAAAGGCCTATCGGAGTGGTTTGTGAGCGTTCTCCTTTGTCTCTACTTTTTTATTTTTGTTTTTTTAAACATAAATAGAGATGTGTTTTTCCAATACGTATTTATTTAATTTTTTTGGTCCATAGAACTATTTAAGCAATACATGCATACTAATGCTTATATCGTTGAGTAAGGCTGATAATTGAGTTGAGTTTTATGAGTTAGAGCTCGAGTTCGTTTTTTTAAATGAATTTAAAAAATTATTCAAATTCGGTTCGTTTAAAAAATGAGCTTAACCAAAACGAGTCGAGTAATTTAATTATTTTACACAAATGAACCGAGTATTTTTGGCTCGTTTTCTAAATGAGTTTAAAAATTGTTCAAGTTCAGTTTGTTTTACAACTTGAGATGAGTCCCAATAACTTGACTCAATTATCAACTGTCTCGATAACACATCTCCATGTAAAAGATTTTAGGTTTCTCATTCCTCTAGGTTAATGTGGTTCAATTTCTAATGATCAAATGTAAGTAGAAGTGTTGTAATGTTCTCTAGTCAAAAAAAAAAAAAAGTATATCGCTATAGCATTCTCCTAATTTTGAGTATATGACAATAGAGACCTTCATCGCTCAAAAAGGATGATGGTTCCAACAATAATAATGCATAAAATGACAATTTCATACCCTTATGTCATGTTTGGACGATGATAATCTCGATTACGAACGAAATTTTCTTTTCAAAACTCTAAATTGTTATGTTTAGATAATTAATTATTTAGTAGTTTATATCAAAGCAGCGATCACTACTTTAATTAAATTCTCACCAATGGAATAAAAATTATTTATTGCTTTCAAAGCAGCAACCATTCTTCAAACAAAAAAAACAAGAACCAAAAGTAAATTGAAGCATATTTAATTGTGGATAAGCAATTAAGTACAAGGAAAATAATTTTCACAAATTTTTTTAATGGAGTTACCGACATTTTGAATTTCTATTTATAAACTAAATAATTAAGAAAAATTATAAATCGAACTATATAATTAAGGTCGAGATGAGTTATTTCTAGAGCAAGTGTATTTGATAATGGACCGATTTGGGCTCCTCTCAAATATTAAAGACATTTGAAAATTTATTTATTTATTTATTTATTTTTTGGTCAGAAATTTGAAAATTTAGTCAAATTTATTGACTGTCATTGAGTTTTTTAAACAGTTAGAAAATAGAAAAAGAAACCAATACAGTGAATAATTCAAAACCAGATCCGAAAACCCGATATCGGTGTCGAATAATCCGACCCGGAAAAAGTATGGGACAGAAGAGATTTACGTTACGAACTGAAGAAGAACGGTACGCACCAGGCGCATACACATTCTAAAACAACATTGTATTGAGCTACGCCGTTCACGAATCTGTAGTGGAAAAGCAAACGATCAATTAATTCTGAAGGTTTGATGGCGAAAGCTAACGACGTCTCAGCAATGGAAATCGATTATCAGAATTCAACGGCACCTGATCAGATCTCTAACCCTAAGTTCTCAATCAATGGTTCTCTCTCTCTCTTTCTGTATCTATATACACGTATTTGTATGCATGTATGTTTTTGTACCTTATTAATTAGGTTTACTTTGATTTACAGTGTTGCAGCTCTTGAAATCTTCTCAGATGCAGCATGGATTACGGCATGGGGATTACACTCGCTACCGGTACGAATTGCATTGGTCTTCTAAGTAATTGGTGGGGAAAAATCGGTACTTTCGCATCGATTTTTGTGTGGTATTCTGGTATTGATTCGATTGGGTTACAGGAGGTACTGTACTGCTCGATTGCGGAGATTGTACAAGTCATTGAAGTTTACTCATGGCCGTGGCAAGTACACCAAAAAAGCCATAACCACATCTACAGTCACTGAAGTGAGGTGTGCGTTTTTCATGTATTGCGTTGTTAAGGTTTTTTTTTTTTTTTATTATCATTGTCAGGTTACTGGGTTGAATTGAATTTGTAATTGATAATGTTGTTCTTCGATTAAGTTAGACCTGAATTTTTTGTTTAATCTTTGTTCCTAATGTTGCCGCCTAATTATGCTCTAAATTGGGTATATATGCCTTAGTGTCGGGGTGCAAGTAGAAACACACATAATGTAGTGAATAGTTGTAGAGTCTTTGTGATGTCTTTCTTCATTATTGATTTATTTTCTAGAAACTTTTGACTTATCTGTAGGCCATGAGCAAGTATGGAACTATTGACATGACTCTGGAGTTTGAAGTCTATGCACCATGTTATAAACCTATGGGGGATATAGGCACCTTAAATCAACGCTGACACAAATGGAGAGTGGTTCATGTAATCCATAAGGTTTAGACGAAACATAGGTGCAATGAATTCATTGTTACAGACATTGCCTAGAGATGTGGCATGATGCATTTCGTGATAAGGCGTTTCATGTTTTTACATCACTGTATCTATCTATCTGTCGCTTTCCATAATTGATCTTCAAATCTTATTTAGTTGTTTTTGAAAAGCATAAAAATGTTACACCTACTTAATGTTCCTTTTCCAAATAATCAACGTGCAGAAAAACTTTCGTGTCTCTTTTTTCTCATCATTCAGCCTATCGTGATATCTGCGCCACTATGATAATATATCATCAATTAGACTACTAGTTCTCCCCTCCCCCCCCAAAAAAAAAATCCTCCCACAGGAAGAACTGGGTATTTTTGATGGGCTAGATACTATTGAACTGAAGAAACAAAATCTTGTATTTTGTGGGACTAGCGCAGTTTATATGTCTCGTGGTTATAAAGTGCAATCAATTGTGTATAGATTTGCAGATCTAATTGCCCCAACATTTAAGTAGGTTAGCATTTCAAATTTGTCCGATAACATTAAACGTTTCTGAACCCAACGTAGGTTTCTCCATTTGGTACTTTATACAGCCGAAAGAGCTTGGAGCCATGCCATGGAAAAGAAAACGCTGTCACTTCGAGATGGTCCAAATGCACGCCCACGCAACTACCTCATTGGTAGGCTGAGAAAGGCAGTAAAATGGGCAACTCTTTTTCAAGATTTGTGTTCCATCAAGGGAGATTCCAGATCATCTTTGGAAGCTGAGGTGTGTTTTTTCAGTTCAGCTACTTGGGATGCTATTTTTGCAGCTATTGCTTGTAAGAATTTCAAGTTTTCTTTTAATTTTTTGGACAATGTCCTTTTCTTTAAGTGTAAGATCACCATGTCTTAATCTTCCCGGGGTTCTTTACTTGTTTTGGCTGTTAGAGAGGTTTTAAGCTTTCAATGACATTTCATAGCAATCATGAAATTTTAATCCTATAAATGATTGTAGGATAGACAGTTTTGAGGCTATAATGTTAGAGATAGAGTCATTCAACCCACACTCACCTATAATCTTGCAAGTTCTTGGTTGCTTGTTTGTAAAAAGGTGAATTCGGGCATGATGCCTCAATTTACAGGTTTTTCTCCCTCATTCTAGCGCTTTTTGTTGATTCTTTATTTGCTTACAACAAAAAAGGTAAAGATGCTTTGCAAAATTATGAAGAGTAATAGTCATGTATTATAAGCGTATACATGCATGTGGAAAATTTATGCACTCATCTAGGAAATCAAAATGTACCATTATTTTAAAGTTCTAAGAGAATAGAAGATGGAAGTTGAAGAAGTTAAAGTTCAAAGGCATTAACGAGAAAAATATGGGCAATTGTGGAGAAAGAACTTTTAGCCTTTTGGTGATAGGTTTTTAAGATAAGTACCAGCATACCAAATTTTGAATTCTATAATTGCGGTGTGAGGGGAGAATGGTGAAGTGTAATGGTCCTGGATCACATTGTCATGAGTGACCATCTGTTCCCCCTGTGGGCAAGGAGAATAAAAAGGGTGGGTGACTGATACTTGTGCTTCTCAAAAGGATAATTGTATGTGATGGCTTCCAGGCCACTCATACTAAACCAATTTCTACCGATAGTTAAAAGGTTGCCGGTGCTTCACTTTCACACAATGATAATCTCTATAAAATATTCTCTCAATGATAAAATAATATTTTGTTATCATAAAAATTTCTCCAGACATATTACTACAAAATAAAATAGCATTGCTTTACAAGATTTACCAAGTCATAATCCTAAACCAAAAAACTTCCCCCAGTATAGCAAAACTCTCGGTCATCCCATAATAATATATTTACTTCCTAATATATTTAAATCCCATTGAAGGAACTCAAGAGTGGTAACTTAATTAGAAAACAAAGCATTCTATAACGCACAAAGAGCTCGTCTGGTTAGAAATTGTAGAAGGCGGAAGAGTTTGGAATGGCTACTCCTTATTTATGACATTGAAGAACAAAATTACAAAGGTAGGGAGAATGAATAAAATTGTTGATTAACCCGTTAGTGTTCTATTTTTTAGCGTAATAAAAGCTATTCCTTTCGATTTTTTTTTTTTTGTTGTTATCTTTGTTTGTAGTGGATATACATTAATTTCTTGGATATATTTTTTCATATTGAAAATTTTAATGTAGTAAGTCTGAAAATAGTTCACAGTATTGGTATGAGATTCTGTGATTACAGTTTGGCTCCCCAATGGCCAAATCCTGGTTCCTTCCCTGGCTGTGGTGCCAAATATTTGCAATCTAGATACAAAATTAACAAGAGGGATGCCAGGATGGGAACAACTAGACAAAGAGAGTCGAGCAATTATAGAAACACATTAGCAAAAATGAGGTTGGGATGAAAGTATTGTTAGACAAGGAGAAAGTATGACGGATGAGAAACAAGAAATATGATTAGACTTTTTTAAGATATGTGCCTTATAGATTGTTTATCACACCAAGAAACCTATTCATGATTCAAGTTGAAGAAGGTACAAGGATAAGAGCTAAGAAAGTGTAATTCATTAATCATTCATGCATATGTTATTTAGTTAAACAAATTCAAGTCAAGTTTTGTCTTCCTATTTCCATTAATAAGATGTTTAGCTTATTTGATGGCTTTAAAAGCTTTAACTTTTTTTTTTTTCCTCCCCAGGGGGATACTAATAAATCTTTTTGTCAATGGGGTACAATAGAATTTCCCAAGTGATTTGGGGAGCTTGACATGTCGTCCTCTTCGGGGGAGCTTGACATGCAATCTATCTTTTAATGTTTGCAATCAGGCAGAATGTGTATATTTAATTTTTCTGGTACATTCTGTCATCGATCATCTATTCCCACAGATTTTGTGGCTTGAATTTTGAATGATTTTACTTGTTTTTCACTTTTAAGTGACATTCTTATCTTTTACTTAATGATGTACAACCTATTCATTTTCTATGGAGCAAACTTTGATCTCCAATTTGTAGGCCTATGCCTCTTACATGAAAGGGAATTTACTGTTTGAAAAAGAAGAGAACTGGAATGTTGCATTAAAGAGTTTCAAGAGTGCCAGGTATGTTTTATTTTGCGTAACTATAGAATTAAAATGTTGGTGTCTCTTCTTCACGGTTTACTTCCCATTTTGGATTAACTTGCAAATCTTTTGCATGTTTTTATGCATGGCTCATTCAAGTCGCATTATTCCCCTTCTCGTTTGGTCATCTAGGATGTTGTTCCAGTCGAGAAAATATTTCTCCTCCTTTCCTTTTATTACATGGCCATCCCCTTTAACATAGTTGTGTTCTTTTTAGATGCTAGATTAGATGACTAGAAGCTTATTTGAGAAGGTTTTAAATTCTAAATTTGATGGTTTCCTTCACTGCATTGATTAATATGTGTTATTGTTTAATGTGGGATGGTTTATTGTATGTGTCTGGTGGATTGGTTGTGTGCTCTAAGAGGGTTGGCTACTTACTTGTTAGCAAATAATAATAATGAAAATTAGTAACAAGAATAATTATTATAATGTGCTGGCTATCTTTGTCAACTTGATAGGGCTGTTTATGAGGAGCTTGGGAAATATGGAGACTTGGAGAATCAACAATTGTGTCGTGAACGTGTTCAGGAACTGGACCCGAATATACGGTATTGTCTACACAAAATTGGAGAGTCAAATCTACAAACATCTGAACTTGTGCACATAGATGAAATGGAAGGACCTGCGCTGGACCTTTTTAAGGCTAAATTGGAGGTAAGTATATTATTTCAATGATGGGCCATTAGTGTGGTATGCATGATTGATTTATTGTTGTAAGACGGTTGCTTGTGCTGCTTCTCAGATGAAGAACTGGAGAACAACGTGCCAACACACGTCATTAATCTTGTCTTGTATTCTCTTGATTTGCAGGCTGTTATGGCAGAGGCTAGATCTCAACAGGCTGCATCTATGACCGAATTTAATTGGCTAGGTCATAAATTTCCAATTTCAAATGCCAAGACACGGGTTTCCATATTGAAAGGTCAGTACTAAATCTCTTATAGTAAAACAAAAGGGTCCCCTGGTTCCAGGGTAAAATGGATTTGTCAAGTATGTCTAAATGTTAGCTTTAACTTTTTTGTATCCTAGCATTGACAATTTACATGCAATCATTAACCTCCCCTCCCCTTCTGAAAAAAAAAAATTTCTTTTGATTGTTTCCGGGTCTTCTCCAAGTAGAGATTGATGGCATGTTTGGTATGGCGACATAGTTTTGATGGCTTGATGTTGCACTAAGAATTAGATTTTTTTTTTGGGTACAAATATACAATTTGTTTTGGATGATCCGCTAGGAAATGCTTATAGGAAAACATCTTGTCCCCTGGAAAATTACATTAAAAAGTTGGTATGAAGCACATAGGCCTATATGATTTAATTCACTACAGCACGAGCTTGGAAGTTATTCCTGTTAACTTTGTTAAGGTGAAATTTTTTATAATGAATGCACTCTGAAAATGTTTTTGCAATATACTTCCAGGGAAAATGGCCTAATTTAACCTTCCAATATGACTAGCTGACACTAAAACTGTGCTGATGTTGAACCAAATATCTTTCTTGATGCCACTCCACTTTGGCATGTTTATATAGTCTGACATGATTATTTTTCAATAACAATCAGTTTGGGATTTCTGACTCAAACTTTTAATTATTGTGTAACAAATTCAATCAGCTCAGGAATTGGAGAAAGATCTTCATGGTCCAACAGCAAACTCTCTTACAGCTGAGAAAAGGCTTATTGTGTTCGACAAAATTTTTGCCGCATACCATGAGGCCAGAAGTTGCATCCGTAGTGACTTGGTATGGAGTGTTAGTTATTGAATGCGATAATATGTTTATATGTCATCAGTTATTCCTTCCACAATTTCCTTTTACTTGTTGTCTTTGCCCCTCCAAATGTTAATCACTCCCCCAACCCCGGGGAAAAAAAGAAAGAACCAAAAGTGGATGGGCTTTGATCTTTCTGAAGGAAACAAATTGGTTAATGAATCAAAGCACGACTTGTTTTGAGCATAATTTTTCATAAGATTGATTCTGGGATTCTTTGTGTTTTAGGTTACAGCAGGTAGTTCTGAAAACCTGAAGGATGATCTGAGTGCCCTAGATAAAGCTATTGGCGCTGTATTAGGACAACGAACTATTGAGCGGAACCAGTTGTTAGTTAGCTTAGCCAAAAGTAAACTTAATAAGGTCCGTGATGACAAAACTGAGAAAGTCACCAAGCCTGAAGAGCTTGTACGATTATATGATCTTTTGTTACAGGTGAGAGACCACACTCCTAAACTCTTAATTGTTACATTGTGTTTGTATTTTACTATCTACATCTAGGGATGCCTGGACCAAAGTAGCAATATTATTCTCATGATATAACTTGAGCAACTGATCGTTCTATTGGCAGAATACAGCTGATCTTTCTGATTTAGTTAGCTCTGGAAGAGATAGAAAACCAGAAGAAGTGGCATTTACTGAAGAATGCGAACTCAAAAGTTTGGTATTTCGAGCAGAAAGGTTTGCTTAATAGGAACTTTATTTATTTGCAGAATAAAACTTTAATGGCTTAGGATCTTACTTTACTCACGTCTATCAATATGGATTGCACCATTTCTTAGAATGGGACCCTTTCTGAAATTTTATAGTTTTTTATTAGTATTTGATTTTTAGAACTCCTAGACAAGATTTTTAAAGCCTGTGAATACCCTTAGCTAGGAAAAAAATATCCGACAAGAAATTCTCTATGTCCAAGGAGACTGTGTGGTTTATAGTTGGATCTAGCTGGTTAACCTAATAGTTTCTGTTCTCTAGTTTAGGGAAGATGTTTTACTGATAGTAATTTAACCCACATGTTTGAGCTTTGATACCATAGAGACTTTGTAGCGAGTCTTTGCTGTTGGCTTTCATGTCCCATTTCACAGTCTTATCATCTACAGCTATGTCTTGTGTTAAATGATAGTTAGTCCTGTCTTTTCCTAATGCGTCAGGTTACAGGCTCTGGCTCTCCCACCCTTGAACTTGAATTTTATTAGTTATTGCTGGTGTTCAAATTGATCTTGGATAGACGTCATAATATTTTCACTGCGTCGCGATTGTTGTTGCTTCTATAGTTAGTCATGTGTTAAATGATAGTTAGTCATGTCTTGCGCCATCTCATCTTAATTTTTTCATGGCTTTTTGTATAAACTTGTATGTTTTGAGGAAGACATGCTGCATTGGCATCATGAGGCGATCTAGGAAGAATGTATATTTGCTCTCAGTAATTTTCTGTTGTAAATGTGTTTAATGAGGATACTTTTCTGTTGTCAATGTGTTTTAATGTGTAGTCAATATGTTTATTAGTTGTCTCAATCGCTTGGCATCAGCATGTTTTATGTTCCATGAATCTTTTGGCTTGTCTTGATCTTCCAATCATATCATAGAAATGTTTTTGGTTCTGAAACTTCGGATTTTGAGAAGCCTGTCGAATGAAATTAAGGTGTCATGCTGTCCATTTTTCATTATGCACTAAACTGTTATGATGGCAGGATTATGTTTCTTTTGTACCATACTATCATCTGTATGTTTTTGTTTATGCCAAAATGTCAATCTTTGTGAGTGACATATCACCCTTGGTTTGCTCTTTGGATAATTTCTATTCAGTGCATTGTGCCAATTTTACTTAGTCGATCGTTCAATACATATTATAATATCAACTATCATTTTCTCTGGTGCTGAACCCAGAAATCATGGTGTTTCTGCTTTGCATATTTACAAATTTGATTCTGCTGTAGTGCTCTCCTTGATAACAAGTTTTTAGGAGAAAATTAAAATGCTACATTTCTCTCAGTTCACATTTGATTGGAAGACCTCCATCCCATATTGTTGGCAGGTGTTTTTACTTGGCTAAATCCTACAGTTCTGCTGGAAAGAGGACAGAAGCATATGCTTTGTACTGCCGAGCTCGCTCTCTAGCTGATACTGCCCTGAAAAAAATTCAGAATTTGACTACCCCAGATCAGGTGTTTACATTCACAAAGGCAGTGTGGTTTTGGTGACTGTTTTAAAGTCCTTTTGTCCAACGGCTCTATGCATCATACATAAGAACTTGCATAAAATATCTATTCTAATTTTTGTGGTTGACACCAATTTCTTTCTGACATCATATCGGACCGAGTTCCTCTATTGTTTTACTGTCTCATTTGGGTAATAACTACTCAGTAAACATTGTGCAAGCAGATAATCCAGTAGCAGCACTGTTGGGAATTATCTAATTTCGCAATTTGCTGAATTATTCTTGTAGGATTTATCACTGCGCTGATGCTAATAAAGTGTCATTTAATACCAGTAATCAAAACATAGATGATGTTGTGAGTACTTGGTTTTGAGTGCCTTTTACTCATTTCTATTTTCCCTTCCTTAAAACAGGTAACAATCAAGGAATTGGAGATGTTATACAATGACAGTAGATCCCATAGTTGTATAGAGCATGCAACTGGTGTTATGGAGGAGCAGAAAGCTCCCGAGAATCTCTCAAAAAAGATCTCTACTTTATCACTAACGAAAAATGACAATAAGGTACTTTATGTTGCCACATACTTTTCTGAGGTAAATATTTGAGTACAAAGTATATTTCAGCAACAGTGGCGGAGGTAGCATATGTATAGACCATCTTATGATAATTTAGTACCTGTTATTTTGAGCACGGCTTCAATAAGGTTTGACTTCGTTGGAATCCATGTGTAGATAGTGACCATTCTCTTTGTGCTGGACACCTGTTAGTGCTTTTTCTCAAAGGAACGCAAAAGAAGAGACAGATTTAGATCGACAATGTTAGAGGCGTTCAACTGATAATAGCTTAAAGAGTTTTTTTTGAAGTATATTTTTGATAGATGGTGAGATTTATCTTTGTGCTTTCATACTCTAAAAATTGGTCTAATATGCTGATTTAACTTTTGTTTCAGCTGGAGAAATTTCTTATCGAGAAATTGGATAGTTACGAATCTGCAGTTGGTGATTCCAACACGAGAGGAATTCCTCGTATTGATGCCTTCCCACCTGCCTTCCAAGCAACTCCTCGCAATCCAATTGTTCTAGATCTTGCATTTAATTCAATTGAGTTCCCATCACTTGAGAACAGGATGAAGAAAGACAAAAAGGGCTTCATTAGTCGGCTTTGGCGATAAGCTGTTTGGGTGGCCTTGAATCCATGGGATTTTTTTGTTACTCAAAATTTAATATCCATACAAGGAGGAAGACACGATGAAATGAGTACTTTTCCAAATCTGAATATTTTCGGTTCGCTGGATTCTGTAGAACAAAAATAACTTGAAATGGGACTGTCAACAAATTTCCTCACCCATTTGTGCTCTGACTGCAGTGGAAATGATGGGATTGAACAGATTTTGGAGTTCAATTTGCCTTGGATCTGAATTTCTTCTTTGTTTCATTGATTTGAGAGATGGACTTTGCTATTGGCTTTCTGAGAAGGTAATTTGTTTTATAGGGAAGTATTGTGTGTGAACAACATATCGAATGCACAAATAGGGGTCGAGCTAAGCAATGTGCAATAGGCATTATTCACCTAACAAAGTGTGCTATAGGTGGGAGAGAAGGAGAAGAATGAGGTTTTTACTACGATTTTCATTTAGTGATAATTGGGGCTAAGCTTTGTTTAGGAAACTTTTAATGAGTTAAATCCATCACTTAAACATATTTGGGAATAAGTTTTATTGTATATCTTTTAGTAAGTAGTTAAGTATAAAGTTTTTTAATAACTTCAAAATACTTCTCATATGAAGTTAAAACCAATCTTCCACGTTAAATTTGTTTCTTAATTGGAAAAACACTCAATTTATGCTCACATCTGTTTCCTAAACTGGCATTCCTTTAATGAGCAGTCTTCTACCCCTTAATTCACGGTTAAATTTGTTAGTAAGATTTTTCATAAAATTTGAAATTCAAATTCATGAGTATATATTATCTATATTATTCTTTTGGTAATGCTTTGTATTTTCATACAACTTCTTGACTTCGTTGAGGGGACATATATTAAATGCTCGGTCTACTGAGCAAAGGTAATCACTACCCATTATGAGACTAGGTCTAGAGGAGCGACCTTCCCCAAACCTAATAATTGCTCGGCTTGAGGGGGGAGTAGATATTGATTAATTATTCTTACGGGGGGGACACTGTCATGTTATCATATTAAAGGTATAAAATTACCCAAAAAATTGGGTCTTAGAGTCTTAGGTACGCAATCAAGTAAAATTTGTTTCTCCCTTTGAATACGTATTGACTTTGACATTAGAGGTGATAAGCTAGACACATCTCATGTTCTCTTCTAACCTCATTCCTTGTTTGCAAGACACGTGGACAGTCTCACATTGGTGCCTTTATCTTAAATTATTGCCCAACCCGTGCACTAACTTAACTTCCAAATAACCTTATTTGAAAGATCAATAATCCATACACATCCCTTAGTAGCTTCAAGTCATATGCACTCTTTAATCCACTTATCCCTAATATATTTACTATAATTTTAAACTTTTAAGATTTGATTTATCATAGATTATATATACTAACAAGCATTTATCAAGTAAAAATGAGCAAGAATTTAAGCTCGTTATGAGCTCAAGCTTCAAAAATTATAAACAAATAAAAATAAATATACTCAAACTCGACAAATTAGACTTAATTAACACATCATAATACATGATT